TTCGCATACGCGATTATGGGATGCATGGAGTGCGAATCAATTGTCAGATTCAGAGGTAGAATTCATATATAGGCTCTCTCCTTTCATAAAATTCAGCATCCATATGATAATATTCCCTCTGTCCCCGTCTGAGAAAACTGTTATTCCAATTTTCACCACGAACTTTAGGATTGTTCCATTAATACATGAGTGCTAAGCCGTGTGCCGGTAACGATGTGCCAATTCGGGATAAACTGTGTTAAATATGAATTGAGGACATGGGAGCGAATATAATACAATCCCAGAAGTAATCATGATGTCCCAAACAAGGATGAAGGTCTCAAACAAGAAATGTCCAGAAACTTGGGTATACGAATTCCTCCTCGAAGATCCGGCGCACCTGCTCGAGAACAAACTTCTCCACTTTGCCCACGTTCTTCAATGCCTGTTTGCCGTTTTCCTTTCTTCCTATCTCGCTCTCTACTCTAATTTTGCGGAGCAGACTGAGATTTTTCCGTCGCAGGGAGTTTGGTTCCATTGTATCTCCACCGCCGGCCCCAGTTTCCGGCCCGATTAAAGCGTCCGCATCTTCCGGAGAGAGAAAACAGAAATGAATTCGTCGTCGAATATATGCAAGAACCGCCACCGCGTCGAATGTGAGACCTGTAATGTTAAGTTTCAAGGGTAGGCCCACGAAACTGGGCATTGGGTAGTCGAGGAGAATCTCCGCGGTCAAAGAAAGACTGATATTGCCTGCATATTTTGTTCGGCAGAAGACTTGGAAATCTTCAGCTTTTTGTTCGCGCATCCGACGGGGGGGAGTTCCGCTGAGAGGAGGGACAGCGCTGACAGGCGAGTCATTGGCGTCGGGGACTTGACCAGGATTATTGGCCAGCAATGTCTGTGAGGGATGGGAATGGCGAGGATCACCAGTGCTAACCGAGCCACGCGACAATAGAGTGTTACCAGTATTCGCCGTGGAAGGTCGAGATTGGATTGCATCAACATCAACTTCTGATCGTCGGCGAGGGGGCCCCTGTCCATGACCAATACGCTTTTCATTCTCCAATGGCGAATCTGGCCACCCGCCTGAAAAAGGATTGCCTCGTGTTACAGCCCGTAGCGGTACCTGGGAACCTGAAAGGCCACTCAGAGGCATAAAGTAGCCCAAATTCGACGTCCCCCCTGGTATACCTGGTGTCCCAGATCTAGGGAATAGATATGGGTTTATATCTCCGAGATTTATGGGTGATCGAAGAGGATGGAGCCTGGAACCGTCCTCATCTGGAGCCAACTGCAATGGATGACCAAAGCCCATTCTTCCCGACATCTGGCCCTCTAAGCTACCTGGTGAGTTTGTCTGCCACGAATCTATCCTCTCCCTGTACCTATCAGCCTGTTCCCGCATTGGAGATTGTTCCTCAGAGCTAACCGATAAATCTTCGTCGCCATCCTCGTAGAAATCTGGGAATGGATCAGTGAGATCGCGGATTTCGAGCTCCGGAGGTATCGTTCCAAAATTGAAGGAAGTGACTTGCACCGAACGGATGAACCGGGGGAGCACCATCTGTTGGAACTTATCATGTATGAACGAGCGGATGCGCTCCGCCAGAAGCTCGCCATCTGGACCCGAGGTGGCACGCTCCCAGTCAATATCTATTGACATCACATAGGAATCCCCACATCAGGAAGTTCTGGAAAATTTTAGGGCCTGCCAACATGCTAGGAAGAGCAACTTAGGGTGTAAAATTCGGACATTGATCAGCTATCCAAACGTTTCTTGTTCCCTTGAATCTGCCCGTCTTCCTTGATGCAAAGTTCCAAATCAGCTCGAACAAACAAAGTTCGTCATGTCACGTGCTATCGTAGATGAGTCATCAAATCTTGCTGTGTCACGTGCACGTGGTATTTGGGCCAACAAACGTCCAACAGCTAACTTATCTTAATTGTTGTGTTGTGTAGTTACGTGTATTTATTCCAAGGCCATCCCAAACATAAATGAAAATGTGTGCCGATAACTTGCGGTCAACCAGTAAGTTTTGCCTGAATGCAACTCTTTCCTGTGCTAATGGTTAAATAAGATGCAGCCCTGAAAGAAAATTATTCTTGAAACATGCTTTATGTTTTCCGCATGCAGAAGAAGTTCAGCTTTGTTGATCCTTACTCGAAATGGGATCTCTGATGTATCATAAAATCTTTTACGACAGTTCTCTATTTGGCAAGGGTCGTTAATGCTTCAGAATTGGTATTCTCGCCACTGCGAGTCAGTTCCGTATAAAACGGCATATTGATTGTTCACAGCTGTTGGTGGCAGCATGCAATGGCGGCAAACCGTTTCTTCAATGACTTTCCTGTCCTGTGATGCTGGGAAACCGCCCTTCTTTGGCAGGATCCGAGAATGTAAGTGTGTCAGGGTATTTCCCAACACAGTGGCCTACATATGTCCAAGCGATGCACAGTTATACGAGGTATTTCAACGAGCCTGTTTTGCCGCATCATTGTGCTATGACGCTATATGCCGTCGACCTGAAGTAGCAGCACGTTATGCCAACCGTGCGTCAGAAAATAAACCAATTTGGACGGCTATTCGGGAACATCTCTCGGAATTCCAGCGGTTAAACTGACCCTCCAAACCTGCATATACATACGAACTAGTTTGACAAGTCCTCCACCTAGTCAACTACAAAAGGATGTCATTAACCTGCTGAACACTACTTTTCGTCCACATACATACATGGGGCTTCTGTTTCAAGCGAGCGAGAGGAGTCATCACAAGCTTGCAGAAAGAGAACATAAGGTGCATCCGGAAAATCCGCGCCCAATCCTTTAGTCATTAACGTTCTTCAATTGGTCAGTACAATCTCTTCTGATGATCAAGTATGCTTTCTGAAATACTATTGGACTAAGAAGCCAACTGTCAATGCTTGGAGTGAAACTACTGCAGCCCTTCGTTCAGCGTTTGATGTATGACAGCCAACCCTTTATTTTTCGCACAAAATTTCTCGTTAATTATTAATCTCGGAAATTTTATTTCTCTCCAAAAATGCCTGTATTTACTGCAATCAGCATTATGAATTTGCTCCCCGGCCGAACAGACTTCATTGATATGTTTTGCTTGAGAAATCAATACATCATCATAATGTTCCCCACACCGCACAATTGACAAAGCAAATCAAATGATGCCCGTGGTGGAAGACAGCGAGGAAGGATAATGGAATATCCGCAAAGCTGGGGAGCTAAGAGTCCCCTATCCCGGACATATATTCGCATTTATGGCCAACGATTAGCTCTTAAAGACAATACCTCCTGTAACATGAAATTGCAGTCCACACTCTTGCTGCTTCATCAACCAACCCGGCAGGGCCAGGGGTGGAGGATTAAACTAGATTTTGCTAACACCAGCCAATTATGATCAACGGTGTCATTTGCCCAAGGGAAACACAAGGGTTGGGCGATGTTTGGGAATCGCATTCGATTGTGAAGTTCAGGTTTTCAGACCCCCGCAGCAGACTTCAAAACCCGCTGAAACACGTTAAAGTAACCAGAACTTTGCAATGCCTGGAAATCGAACAATTGGCCATGATGTCAATCACCTGGACTCCTATGTCGATCCAACCATATCTCCACCCTTGCTCTGTATTCACCGTTGGATGGCATCACCCAAAGTCGGTGGAGAATATCATCCGTTATTTTCATCACCCTTGGGTAGGAAATACTGGCCTCTGATTTCAAAAAAGGCCGCTTTCTCGATTTCATCTTTCTCTTCAAATTCTTTGCTTGATGTTCGGGCATGGTAAATTATTGCAAACACATAATCCGAAACAAGGTATAATAAACGGATCTATGACTCTTAGTAACTGCATCTCCTCAAGAGGTCTCAAACGGCCTCTCATGCACCTAAAATACTATTGCGGCGTAGTTTTGCTGAGCTAGATGTCTGCTGTGCTGCAAGATCATGTAGGGCACTTGGGGGCCATTTGACCGCCCGTCGACACACAGGTGGGTCGATTTTCCGCAGGCTTTATTTTGTAACTTTGGCTATTGTTCCAGGGCAGGTGGGATTGGCAAAATGATATAGATATATCGTCTGCCACAGTACGGAGTACTGCCCACACTGACGTGTTTCTGATGCACCCTCTGCTACACAACGAATCCGTTCATATTGAGCCTCGCAGTCACAAATTTTGATGACTATGACGACTAGGAGAACGTCTTGAAGCGGCACGGCCCGTAATCGGATTTGACAGAGCTGCTTGAAAAGAAGACGGCAATGACTCTCCAGCGTGGAGTTCGGCGGTTGGTGGTGTGGCGTAAAATGCATTTCTCTACATTGCTGCAGTTATATATGCCCGGTTAATAAAACGTTTTCAGCCCTTTGGGCTTTGTGTGGATCCAAGAATCAGTTCCGAACAGCAAAATATCTTGGAACATTATTTATAATTGGCTTTTGCAGAGTTAAACAATAATGTAGTGTGCCCAATTTATCCTTTTTTTTTTTTTTTTTTTTTTTCCCAGTCAGCCGAAAACGGCCTTTGTACAGATAGTGTAACTTTGCTTTTTTTGCAGAATGTATTCTTCTGCAGTAAAACTGAAGTAAAGGTTGCCTTATCAAAGGAAACAGCTTGCTCTTCATTCCCCTAGAACAATGCCGACATTTAGCACTGAAACTACGAGTATTGGCAGAGCAAGGGCTTGGAAGATTGTAGGATATCTGATGAAGGAGTATGATGTTTCCCGATTGGGCTATAGATATCAACTTTCCTGAGCTCAAAGGTTTCAACTAAAGGGGCACCAATAACCCGAAACATAAAGAGTGAGGAACATACATACGCAGGGTAAAACAAGAAAGATGAGCTATACAGTCGAGAGCTCGAAATGTCGAAGGATACACAGAAAAAAAAGAGACTAGAAACATCAGGAAGGGGATGGGATAACTCCAATATCTCTAAAAGAAAAGGAACAGCAAGCAAGATCTCATTCCAGCCCGAATTTGAAAATTTTTCAGAAGGAGATTGGCTGCAATGGATTCCCTCAATACCCAAAATTTGTTTAGAAAGCTTGATAATAGACCGAAGGGGTGGTGGAACCAGAGATTTGTTGAAGAGCTGTTCGGAAGTAGCCTGTACCGGGATGAAATCTCAAGTTCCTTCGCGGAAAAGACGATAGCCGACAGAGACGGAAAATATCTCATAAAAAGGGCCCAAATAAAAGAGGCATTACGCCTTATAAACCGAACTGTGGTTCGTCAAGTTTCGGTCTTCGGTGGTGAAGGCTCACAATTTGGTTCGACTCTTGGGTTCTCAGCAAATGATCTCATGTTACAGGCGAGTCTGATGGAGGAGTATGAAGTTTTACCGTGCTGCATTATAGTGATTGTCGCATTTGCCGGCCGCATATCTCTTGACGTCCTTTATCCTGTGTGCCGGACCTTTTATATGACAATACAAGACCAAGTTGTCATCCCACATCACACAACCACAAGTGTAGATGTACCAATATTGAGTACACATGGCTGCTGAAGGTATCTGTCGTCGTGGATTCGGCGATGGGACGAAGGTGGGTAAAACTAAGCTCGGTTAAATCCAGAGCGAGGTGAAGTAGAAGTTGGATGTTGTGGGAAATGCAGAAATCTGGGATCATGTGTGGTTTTAGTCGGGAATAATCTCCCTACTTATGGCCATTTTGCTTGGTTGTAGCAACTTACATGTTGCCCAACTATGGAGAAGAATCTAACATTGACCTAAGTATTCTGATCCAATGGTATCTTTGAAGGGCGTTGTGACATGCAGCCAACTTCGCGAGCTATATCAATGACAGCGTAGTCGTGGTAATTCTTTTCAATGAAGAGAAAGAAAGTTGATTTAACTCGTGGCAACTGATCTGAATAGTGCACATAAAGGGCAGCACTTGTCAAAACCCCCTTTCTCTGAGGATCTAACAGGAAATATGAATGAAGGGATTTTGCTCGACACTTAATAGAAGGATTACGCGGCTACTGACTCTGACAATGATGCCGCCCTGAACAATTGGTATGTTGTTTGTGTGATCGCAGAGGCCAATGCGTGGCTCAGGGGACCACTAATTCCATGTAAAATACCGGGGCTGTTGTCCCAAAAGCCCACCATTTCGTTTCAAAAATGGCGGCTCCATTTCCTTGCAGGCAAGGAAAATACTCCTCACGTAGGCTCAAGTTCTCGGCCAGCACAGTCACCTGTCACAAACATGGCTAGTTCAGAAAACCGTTGTGAACCCTGGCTTGCTGCCTCTGCAGAAGGCGACTTAGGTAGCGGACGTGATGTTGTTCGAATTTGGTGTATTCCAATTTGCGGAAGATGCCTGGTTTCAGATGTATCTCCTGCAAACCAGCAACACACATATGGCGTCATTCAAGAAGATCTACTTGGAGCAACTGCGTCATTGACTTGCAGAGGAACAACCCCACATGCCCTAGCTAGCCCCCTGAGAAAAAGGGAATTCAGGATTGCCACCTGTGCCAGAAGGGAGTCAAGATATGATTTTGTCAATAAGTCCTTACCCAAACTTCAGAGATTTGCGGATGGAAAATGAACTGGTAGCTGTCGAGAAAAAAGAGACTGGTCAGCATCTGTGCCACCAACGAAGAATAAAAGTGTCAAACATGAGCAACTGTAGAATTCCAAGGAAGTTGCGTGCGATCTGTAGTTAGTGAGGGTTTGCCATAGGGATGATGACCGAACATGGGGCCATTCGGGGGCCATCCAGATATCGGAGCATGTTAAGACGTCTCAGACATCAACGGGACAGCGGGGGCCCACGAATTTTCCCTGGCAGCTTTTACTCATGACCTGCTGCAGCTCATAAGCTGGTATCGGTATCGTCTGTGCCATCTCTAAGTTGTATGAGGAAGCCATGGGGGTCAAATTGTTTTTATTAGGCCCCCGACTCCGGATTGGATTTGACATCACACCAGCGTAGGTGGCACTTTGAAAGGCTTTTTGGGAGCAATAGTAAAAAATAAATAAATAGATAAATAAATTCCCACTTCCATAAGGAGAGAAATACGGCAAAGAAAAGGACTGAAATCCCTTTGTTGGGAACGTGACAAAAGTTTAAACAGGTTGATGCCGGTTTATGTGGACGGACAATCAAAACAATTGATTTGACGAGTAGCATTTCATTGTTCGCGAATATACTTCTCCAGCGAAGGCCCTTTGTGTTTCAGTTACCGAGAATATCGCGTCATTAAGCACAACGAACAAATGGCATGGCTTTCTAGGAATATAAAAGGCTGAAGCAAACCTACTGTTCAGCACTCTAATGGAGCCTCGAGTTCCTTGTTTTCAAAGCGGGCAAGTGGGGTTTTTGGAAAGCAACACGGGTTTAGTGGCACAAGAGGCTCGATAGTGCCAAAGCGGGTGACAGCAGTTGTTGAACAGTATCTTGATAAGTGAGCAAAGGATCATGAAATCGATGTCGTTGAGATAGACTGTTTGCCTGAGGCTCAAATGCGTTGATCAGGTGATTGGCTGAGGATGTCAGACAAACCAATAAACTAGTTACATCAGGGTCCCCAGTAAGGGTAATTATTTTTTTAATATTTATATGAAGCTATTAAATTTATATAATATAATTTAAAAATTACAGATTAATAACGTTATAAAATACTTTTTAATTTTTTTTATTGAATTATTAAATGTAACAAATTTATTTAAATAATAATAGTTTAGTTTTAAATACTTAATATTAAAACTAATTAAAATAAATACTGTTTAGGGATGAATAAACTACTTGATAAACTATAAAATATAAAATATTGTTCAAATAGAAGAAGTAGTTTTTATAATTGATTATTAAAACCGCTAATTAGACTTGCAAGACTTGTAGAGTTCCAGTTTTAATATAAAAGCTAGTTTAGTAAGCTTTATTTAATTCTCTCAATTAAAAGAAGATTCTTTAAAATCCGTTTCTCTAACTAAAAGTTTGTTTATGACTTCATCGATACAGGTTTGAATATGGTCGACCCCTGTCTAATAGATATATATATTCTACATCACATTCAGTTACAATATGCTGAGTTTCGCGGAATTTTGTAGTTAGCTGGTTAGTAG